TATCGGTCATATCAATAGCAACCCCATTTCAAAGTGATATTATTTCCCTCTCATGTTAATTTATTTATTGCTAAGAATTTGCAACAAAAGTAAAGTTGAATTTCTAACAAAACCCATATAAACCCAATTTTAAAACTTAGTAGAAAACTACAAAAAATACAACAAATTTTCACCCAAAATTCAAACTTTTTTCTTAGAAGTGTTAGAATTTTTTTGAGCACTCAGTTTTATAGCCACTTCAATTTTAGTCTAATTATATGCAAGTTTGAAGTGGCTAAAAATTACCTTAATTTTTTTAGAATCGATTAAAAACAAATCGTGTTTAATCGCCTTCCATATAACGAAAACTTCGACCATATATCGATGGCTGAGTAGAAGATCGACCTATCTCGGCAGCCAGGTCGAAAACGCCCGATATCAGAAAGCTTTTGAACGCCCTATTTCAAAATTTGGCTGAAGAACGCCCTATCTCAGCACATTTTCGAAGCATTTTTATTTGAGATAGGACTTTTTTGAACCGAATAATAATAATAAAATATGTACTATATACATATCTAGTTTCAATATAAAAAAAATTATGTACACCATTAGTGGTGTATACATATCTAAGTCAATATATGTGATATACACCCTGCAAACCATTCTTTCAGAGTATTCTGCATTGTAAAGAAATTTTAAAGAATTCGTTAAGATTTAACTCGAATTTTTGCGGAATTTTCTAAAATGAAATAAATTACGCACACTTCCATTCTTTTACGAAATTTCGGAAGAAAATCTGTGAAGCAACGACAATAATGCTGCTATGTGAAGAATATCTTTCAGAATTTTTCCAGAATTTTCTTTATTTTTCGTACAGAAATTTCTTTACGAGATCGTGTCAACCACTTCATATAATTTTCTTTGAAAATTCGTAAAAAAATCGTTACAGAAACGAGATAATTCTAACGATATCCTTAAGATTTCGGGAACTTTGGTTTGCAGGGCATGTACATACATCTACATACATATCGTCGGTTAAAGTACAAAACCATGTATCAATAAATTGCAAAACCGCGTATAGAGATAATGCAAACCCACGTATGCGAGGTTGCATAAATTTATTTCTAGAGAGTAAAAACACTCACATTTCAAAATGGTTATCTTTTTGTAAAAAGCAATCGCATTTTTGGCTAGTATATTTCAGGAAGAATGGATAAGGATTGAGCCAAAAACGTGTGTGAGCGAATCCAATTTATAGCAGCAAATGTCAGTTACGCGGTTTTGTACTTTAAGCGATGATATGTATGTTAACAGGAACGCAGCAATCTAATACACGGGTGGAGCAGGAACGCAGCACAGCAGAAGCATACAAAAAATCTGCAAATAAATGGCTTTTTAGGTTTTTTACAAACAAAAACCTGGTTTCAACTTACTTCAACGTGTCTAAATCACAACGCACACACTAATGCAAAGGCGCAACAGGAACGCAACACTATAATATACAGGCGGAGCAGGAACGCAGCACAGCAGAATCGTCCGAAAAATCTGCGAATAAATGGTTCATTAGGTTTTGAAATAACAAAGAGCTCAAATGGATTGGTTCATCAATAAAGTCAAAATAATATGTTGTAACTTACGTGTATTAGCTCTTAATCACAATACCAGCACAGGTCGGTTAGGAAAACACTAAGGAAATGACCTAATAAATGCAAAATTATAATTTATTTGTAAAATAATTCGGTTTTATTACAATACTTACCAAATTTCACGCAATTAGAAAACAAATGTCAGCGAATAAGAACAAAACGAACAACGAAAATTGAATCAATGTAGCTTGTTTAGAATTTTTTTCTAATATTTTGGGAAATGTTCAGTGAAAATAGCAAAGAAACAACACAGTTTCTCCTAAGGTAGTTCAAGACGGCGGATTAGAGCGAGAAGTTGCCAACGTATAACACCTTTCATTATTGCATCATGAACCCTGCTTATGAACAGACGTGGGCAGTGTTGCCGTTTTGATACATATGTATCCAATTGGATACATTTTCGCCTTAAAATTTGGGGGATACTTCGTGTTTTCCTCAGTGTAAATTTGGATACCTGTTCCTATAAGTATTCGTAAGTTGAAGGAAATTTTTTTTTATTTATGAACGAGCTATTATAACATTTTTAACAGTTGGTTGCTCATCCTCCAAGCAAGAAATTTTCCTTTATTCTTGTCACTTTGAAAAATTATTTTTTTAGCTACATAAACGTGCATTTAATAATACCAAGTAGTTTGCAAATTTTAAGTTTTCCGAACTGTAGTAGGTCGTCTCTTAGCATTCAAAGTAAATTGACAACTATGCCGATGACTAATTTTCAACAATAACTTGACTGTACTAAAAATAACTTATAACTTCTAAATTTTCAGTTATATGTCATTAAGCGAGAATTCAAACAAGCCGGAAATAGAAATTTTTCTTAAAGACGGAGTTTACCAACAAATACAAGTTTTTGAGACATTTTTAATGGGTGCGTTCATAAGACGTAGCTGTTGCCTAACCGTTGGCTATTTGTCTTAGAAACGCACAGTTGAGTAGTTCCGCTCAGCTCAACAGTTGGTAACTTTCCGCCATATTTTCCAGTGCTACCTGAACTCAACGTGATGGGCTTAGCCTAAAGACATTTATTCTATTTTATATTACTGATGTGCTAAAGTAACTAAAATATTTTATAATAATACTACGTTTCTAAATATATGTTTTTAAGAGGTTTGCTGTACAATTATACATTGTTTAATTCTTTATATCATTGAACGATTTTTTCAACACGGCGGCAGCTCAGCGTTGAATTCTATATAGGATCGACGCAACTGTCTCTATTTAATAATAATCCCAACGGTTTCTACCCTCCGCATAACGTACGGAAACCAGTATTTTCAATTTTTTGCGCCGAGTCACGATAGTCAGGAGTTTGTTAAGTGTCCAGATCTAAAATTGTTCAGCTACAGAACTAAATCCATCAATTCATTTTATGTCTTTATGTTAATAATTCATTTATTGAGAGAGGAGAATACCGCTTTCTTACTACAAGAAAAGCCGATCTGATATATCAAACGTGCTGGAATGAGAGCTAAAATCCTGGCATAAGCAACGGAGTGGGTCGTGCAATTCAAAATTAGTTTTACAAGCTTTCAGAAATAGGGGACAATAGTGTCTTGATACCCGGGAGGGAACATTAAAGCTAACTTCACCCAGAAGAAGCGGACTTGAAACTGAGCCTGTCAGTAATTTAACTATAAAAATTGCACCAAGCATTTGCCTGCGACTGGCAAGTGTAGGAAGATTAATAAGTTTTAATCGGATCGTATAAGGCGGAAAGTAATATTAAGAATCCCAACGGAAATTTCTTAAAGCAAATGGTAGTAACTGTTTTTAAGTTGATTCTATCTTGTCTGAGTAAATTTGATACCTTGAATTCCAAACCACCGAACCGTATTCCAGAATCGGTCTAACAAATATTGTAAACAGGGTTTTAGTAATATAGGGTCACAAAATTATTTTGACCATCGTTTCACAAATGCAAGTACACCTTTAGCCTCGTTGACTGTCACATTAATGTGAAGATTAAAATTACCGTGGGATTCAGTAATTCAGTCTCATCTCAAGCCACTAAATTTGAGATAATCAATTAGTGACTATTTTTGTGACTTGAGACGATTTGGGTATTCAGAAGGAGAGAGTCACAAAAAGTTCACCGAAAACGTGTGGTGAAAGTAAACACAGACAATCAGCTGACAGTGTTTATGTATGTCTTTTGCCCGCGCCGCTCAAAGAGGCGCAATGGCGGAGTGGTAAAAGCATTAGGCTGGCAACCGAAAGGGTCCGCGTTCAAGTCCTCCTCGGCCGTAGAGGATTTTTAATTTTTTTTTTATTTAGTATTTTTTATTTTTTTTTATTAGTTTTATTTTTTTTAGCAATCTTTAGATTGCAATGTTTAAAAAACAAAAAACTACATTTTTTTCAATACATTTGTATGATATTAAAGCATTTTGGTTTATTTCCTAATGAAATTTTTGTTGAATAAATTTCTTCGCTTCATTTTCGCGTTTTTTTAACAAAATGGAAAGAAATAAGTTTTTCCTCCATACTTCTATTTTTGCGACCGGCTCTTAGCCAGCTGACAAATTAGTGACTTATTTTTGAGACTAGAGACGTGAGACAGCGTACTGAGTACCAAATAGTCTCAAAATCCAAGTTCACCACCAAAAGTCACTATTAGTGACTAGAGACCGCTTACTGAATGCCAGGGTTAAGCTTAGGATGCATTGTGATACCAAGGTCCACAAAATTGCATAGCTGCTCCAGGTTATGGTTACTTATTGTATAAGAAGAGGGATGAACAGCTCTTCGCGAGAAGCACATTACTTTACATTTCTTAAGATTTAGAGGCATACGATTTACTTTACACCAGTAAGCTATGCTGTATAAGTCTGATTGTGGCAAAGACCTTTCTTTAAACGTTCGATTTATAAAGCTTTACATCATCTGCATACATTCAAATTTTGGAAAACTGTATATCTGTAGAAATACCGTTTATAAGAAGCAAGAACAGAACCAGACTCCTGAAGTAACATCATTGACGTCAGAGATGGTATTTTTAAACATTACCCTCTGTGATCTATCATAGAGGTATGAACAGATCCAGCGTAGAAAATTAGGTGGAAGACCAAGAAGATCATGTTTATAAATGAGCAACGAGTGGCACACTTAGTCAAATGCTTTACTGAAGTCAGTATATATAACATAAACAGATTTGATTTCACTAAATGCTTTTGAGAGATAGGATGTTAATTCAAGTAAATTTGTAGAAGGTGATTTGCCCTTGCAAAATCCATGTTGACTATATGAAGTGCTAGAAGAGATGGAATGCGTCAACTGATTTGTTATAATTGCTTCAAATAATTTAGGAATTGCAGAAAGCTTAGCTATTCCATGGTAGTTCTCCACTGAAGGTCTGCTACCGCTTTTATGTAACGGGGTTATAAACGATTTAAGATTTAAGAGACAAATTAAATAACGCTGTTAACGGTTCATAGAGATAATCAGCACAATTTATAAGAATACAAGTAGGGATCTGGTCAGGACCATAACTGAATGACTGCTTTAAAGATTTCAGATAAACTTCTACATCGTCGGGAAATATTACTGGGATATTTATTGAGTTCATTGGACATAGTTTAAAAGGATAGTCAATGTTAGCATGTGAGTTAATGGAATAATTGGGTTTAAAAAACTGAGCGAACATGTTAGAAATTGTTTGATTATCACCAGAGACGGTATTTTGATACTTCATGGCGGAAGGAAATCCACGTACATTTCGCTTGGAGTTTACGTAGTCATAAAATTATTTGGGGTTACATATTATACGCCGTTTGATTTTACACAAGTAAGCTTGATAACACTTTTTGTTTAATTCAAAAAACTTATGACGCAAAAGTGAGTATTTTACATAGTATGAGTGTAAACCGGGTTTTTTTGTGTAATCTAAAATAACGCGACTCTCAGTTTTTCAAACTTTTCAGTTCTTCAGTGAACCATAACTGTGTTTGTTCTTCAGGAACATACATGCGTTTAGGCACATGCTTTTCAAATAATTTATGTAAAGTAAAGTTAAAAAGTGCAACGCTTTGTTCAATATTTTCTTTATATGCAGGCCACGACAATTTAGACTGTTCTTTGATAAGCTTTTTAAAGTAGGCTTTCAAAAAATCAAAGCGAATATTTGGTTCGTATGCTTGGGTACTGCAATTTTGACCATCACTTATAACTTCGTAAGATACCTCCATAGCAGGGTGGTAGACATCTTCGGGCAAAACAAGTGCATCACGCTTTTTTACAACGGACTTAGATGCATCAACATAAACAAGATCTAATACTTTACCAAACTTATTGTGAAGTACATTCACCTGAGTTAGGCAGAGTTCAGCCATCTCCTCTAAAAATACGTTGTTGTACGCACTAGACGCGAAAGTACGATATCATTGTGGATGATGTTCCATGATATGCTTGGCAAATTAAAATCACCCAACACAATCATTGAATCACAGGTNTTCAGCCATCTCCTCTAAAAATACGTTGTTGTACGCACTAGACGCGAAAGTACGATATCATTGTGGATGATGTTCCATGATATGCTTGGCAAATTAAAATCACCCAACACAATCATTGAATCACAGGTATTAGTCAGTAAATTAACTGATTTCAGTAAAGAGATGAGTCGTGAATACACCAATGTGTCAGATCGGGGAGGGATATAGCATAGAGCTAAGTAAATAGACTCTTTTCCAGCCTGTACACGAATGCATTTGAATTCTATTGAATCAATGTGTGGAAGACTAACTTCTTCAGATGGTATTAAAGAGTCTACAGCGAAGAGTACGCCACCGCCGATTCTGTCCTCCCTATCTTATCTGTAGATATGATAATTATTTGGAGAATCTCTGAATTGAAAATGTGAGGAGGCCAATGTAATTTCATTTGTTTACATTTTTTAGTTGTTCATTTGGCAGCATATTCATCAAGCCGTTTCTAAGACATAATTGTTGGGTTCAACAGTTGCCTGCAGTTTCGTTGCAGATGAGCTAAACAGCTACGTCTTATGCACGCAATCAATTTCATAGATAGCTCCCAATCCACCAGTTTGATTGAAAAATATTGTAACCATAACAGCAGGAAATAACGATTTACTGAACTAAATGTAACAGGTCAAAATTAGTTTAAATTAGTATTATTTTGGTAGGCTAGGAAACATTTTTTGCATGTATTATTTGTGGAAATCTAACCGTGGTAATAAACATTGAACATGCGAAAACTTTGGCTCGTCGTTGTAGTCAGTATTTTCCCATTCTTAGAAACGGATCTGGGAAACAAAGGCCTGTAGTTATAGTCAAAATTAAATCGACACTAAAGTTAGTTGCAGCTTTTTTGACACG